GTTCCAACGCGAAAAACATACTCAAATTAAAGCCAAGTAATACATTTAAAAAAATAACTGTAGTAAGAAAAACAAATGAAAAATGCGAACTAATGTAACGTCGTATGGTGAGTTTTTGTTCATATCGTGGAGCAAAAATATGTTCGAATTTCATGTCGTATCCTGAAAATTTCGTATGCTGGGGCGTTCGTAACCTGAGGTACCACTGTATTCTGTTAAAATATTTTAAATTAAAAAATGATTGATTCATATACTGAGAATGTACAGTGCATAAACTTGGTGCTTATAATTATGTTGTATGGCCATGAATAATTTATTTACTTGTAACTGTGCTATATCACAAGAATTACACTGTATTATTATAGGAAAAGGCTAAAACTTTTTATGGACTACATTGCTTTTATCCTATAGAAATTTGTACAATAAATGCACATGGAATATAATAAAAAGGCAAATTACAATGTAGCTTACAACTTATTAATATATACTAGTTAAGTTCGTGTATCCTTACCTTGAAAACTGACCTTCGTTCTTTCTTTAAATGGTTGATGAAGTAATCTCTTTTAAACATTTAAACAAGATATTGTCTTATATTTCCCAATCCTTAAAACTTAAAATTTAATGTACCTCAGGACAAGAAATTAGTACTGATATTCAAGGTAGGAAGAAATCTTTCAAATAAGTGCATTAACTTCTAGAAGTTCAGTTAATTTTTTGATACTTTCCAAGTTAGTATATTCTTCTCATCATAAAAGAATATAGTCAAATGCAAATGGAATAGACCTTTTTTTATAGGCCTTTAACTGCCTAAATCTATGTCAAATTGCTTTTAAAAATCTTTATAACAAAGATTTTGTAAAAATCATATCATAGTTCTTCTCCCGTATATTATTAATTATGTAAATGTATTTTTATTTGCTCAACTGGTCATATTTTTTATAGATATATAATATAATTTCTATTAAAAGTTATTATTAATTTATGTTTTAATACATGCTTTTTCTTGATATTAATAAATTCAAATATCTGTGGTAAATAAATAAATTAGCATATATCTTACAAGAAGATTTTTCAGTTCAAAATCAGAATTAATATTCATCTTGTAAACAATAGAATGAGACTACAGAATTAGTTTATATATACAAAAGTCAAAATATGTATATTTTTATGTATGTTAATTAAGTAAAGGCTTCTATACTGTTCAATGTATCCACACCAAATTTGGCATGAATATTCTTTGATGCCCTAGAAAAAATACTGTGGTGTCTCCATCTCCCAACCACCCCTAAAGCCTGAACAATATTTAATACATAAAGAAAGTTTGTTAGTTTGTTCTTTATACATTTTGACATGATTTAAGCAAACCCACCCATAATGGACTTTTTACTATTTATCATCAGGATGGTGACATTCTAATAGGAAAATTTAATTAATACAAAGTTACCAGCAATCACAAAATTGTAGAATCTATGTGAATCTGTTTCTAGGATGTTGACATGATTTAAGCAAACCCACCCATAATGGACTTTTTACTATTTACCATCAGGATGGTGACATTCTAATAGGAAAATTTAATTAATACAAAGTTACCAGCAATCACAAAATTGTAGAATCTATGTGAATCTGTTTCTAGGATGTTGACATGATTTAAGCAAACCCACCCATAATGGACTTTTTACTATTTACCATCAGGATGGTGACATTCTAATAGGAAAATTTAATTAATACAAAGTTACCAGCAATCACAAAATTGTAGAATCTATGTGAATCTGTTTCTAGGATGTTGACATGATTTAAGCAAACCCACCCATAATGGACTTTTTACTATTTACCATCAGGATGGTGACATTCTAATAGGAAAATTTAATTAATACAAAGTTACCAGCAATCACAAAATTGTAGAATCTATGTGAATCTGTTTCTAGGATGTTCAACATCCTAGAAAAAATACTGTGGGGGATCTCTACTCCAATCACTCTGAAGTCCATACCCTTTTAAGTTAAGCTCAAGCAACTTTTGTGTTTTGCAGTTTCATTATTGTAAATACGTGGGTCAAATATACATTTTAGTTACTAAGACCATTGTTTTTATCAACCTCTTCCAACTAAACCTCACTAATTTCCCATCCCCTAAAAGACCTGAGCAAAGTTGGGCACTTGCAGCTAATAATTTATAATATCAGTTTATTTTTATATTCAATTTGTTCTTTAATATCTCTTCTGTTAATGATTAATAATAATTTGATAATTTTAATTCTATATTGGTAATCAAAATTAAATTACATTATAAAAGTCAGGATTTTATCTTTTCTTAATATACTTGTGAAAAAGATATAAAAATGTATGTAAATAATAATTCTAAGCAGAATTCACTTACATTTCTTCAAAGTATTAAAGTGTAATTTAATCTGTTTCTTATCTATCATAACATTATTTTCTGTGCTCAAGTAATTTCTTCCTGTGTAAAATTAGTCTCCATTTGCTACCAAGTTCTGTTTGATTTTATGGTATAATCATGACCCCTATCAATATTTTATTTAAATTTCTCACAATGATTAATTCCTCTGCTGTATAGTAATTTAAAATAATTATTTGTATATTTTTCTTTATATTATATTAGATAAAGATATATATTAGATACGTATCAAAACGTATTAAGATTCATGTAACATAGATAACAATAATACGTATGGTATTATTTAAAACATAATTTTAATTCTAGTTTTTATTTTACTTTATTTTTCTATTTATCTGTTTAGAACAAATCTTCAGAAGGCATGAATAATCAGGAAAAAACTAATTCTGGAGAGAAGAGCAAAACCGAATTTACTCCACTGTGTAGTTTATTCGATAGTTCTCGTTCTGATCTTGGTCTCGGGTACGGATTAGACAGCATGGGATTTGGATTAGGATTACGAGCCGTAATACCCAAAATGCCTTCATTCAGAGTGAGTATATACAGAACTAACTAACTATATCTATACATATATTTAATTGCTGTTCTTAAAAATGTATACAAGCTATTTTCATTCATAGACTAGTAGAATATTTAAAAATTACAAGATTTTTGGCAAATAATTGAAGAAAACTCATTTTTCAAAGAAAACCAGAAGAGAGAAGTTTTAAGTAATAAAAAGTTTCTTAAAGCTTCTCTCTTGTAGTTTTAATTTAGAAACATTTATCAAAATATAATTCTCAAAATTAATTACTTTTTTATAAAATAACTGGAAGACTATGCTCATATATCTGCAATTGATATTATTATGGTAAGGTTTAATAATAGTAACATAAGAATATACAAGAATAATATGAGTCAATTATGATCTTATCCATTTGGACAAAAATCTGTCAATATTATTCCAACAATAGGAAGACTATATCCTTCCACCATACTGTTGTAAATGCATGTGGTAAGAAAGTCCGACAAAGGGATGGGAGTGTAAAACAAAACTTCTTTATTTTTTTCACCCACGTTTGAAATATTTTATACAGGATTCTTGTTTAGATTCCGACACTCCTTGGACAAAAGCTTTAAAGTTTAAACACTCGGGCAGAATCGTCAGTCAAAAATCTCGCGACAGAATGACTGACTTAAGATACCTGGTGCGACAAAAAAAATAGGGCATGTGAAAAACTTATAATTAATTACTTATAACTAGAGGAAAGAAGAAGGGATAGATTATATGACAGAACAAGACAAGAACTGGGTACCCAAACTTAGCTAGTGACGTTGTGGTGATGGTTAGAACTCACTCTTTGTTGGATGGGACAAATTTTGATGACTATAGAGGTAGAATTTTCCGTTCCCTTAACTTATTTCTTGATAAGCTTCTAGAGAGGCTCGTGTATTAAAATATTAGGGTTTGCTACCTTCAGCCTACTGCCTCTTTCGTTCTCCTGTTGGTATGAAATTGACTTGGAGACCTTCACGAGATACATTCTTACAGCTCAACATCTAAGCCAAAAGTGACCAGTCTATCTCCCGTTTAGCCTCTCTAGACTATCCGTTTCTTTTGTCTTACAATCAGGTCGTCGCCACCGGCAGAAAGAAGTTTCCAGAAGGAGGGAGACAAAGGAACAAAGGGTAGAGGAAGAAGGGGAAATGAAAATATATATGTACAAATAAAATATACAAAAAAAAAAGTATGGCGTAAGACCACAATACTTCATTTCTAAATAGATGAAAAAAATGTCCCAAAAAATCCTGTCTTTGTTGAAAATAATGTTTAATTGGCATAGCTAAAGGCTTTGTTGTTCACACATTTGTATATAATGATTGATAACTCTGGACAATTATCAGTGAAGATACATTTTTATTAGTCAAGTTATAGAAGACAATGAATCATTAAAGGCAATTATATATGTGACTTCAATTTAATTCATTATCTTCTATTCTTTAAACAAATCAAATGCAACTGTATTATTTCAATGTTGTCAAAACACATGACAATGAAAATAATTTAGTGCATCAGTTAATCAATATAATTATGTTTGTTGGCTTATGAGATGTTGTGGCATGGAGGATGTGTCCTGTAATTCTGTAACAGTAAATTTAAGAAATAGCTTATAGACAATGTTAGTACAATGAAAATTTAAAATTTAGTAAAAATTAAGTCTAAAAGGCAATAAAGCAAAGTTAGGATCATTACTTATATTATTTTAGTATTATTTACTTTGTATTTATTATGACATAATCATCTTTATCATCATTTATAAATTACACTTTTTTTTGTTATTTTAATTTTTGAATTTTAAACTTATTCAGATAAGTAGATCATTAATTTTTGATTAGGACAATTTTTTCTGAAATTGATAAATGAGAGAATAATTCAGTTATTGATAACTAATTAAATTATTTTCGTTTACATTTACAGTAGAGCATCGTTTATCCGAATCAATTGGGGACTGATGTTGTTTCGGATAACCGATTACGTATGAAAAAATATATTAACCTATCCCATGTTGAAATTTTTCTCCATTGCGTGTTGCTTCACGTTGAATTTTCATCAATGTTAAGCCTAACGTAAATTTTTATAATAATAATAATAGTGGCTATTGTATCGTTAAAAATTATTTCTTTATTTTGTACAAACAAAATAAATATATTGAAAAATATAAAAACAAAAATATTATACTTTAGAAGTTAATCTAGTATCAAAAATGTTTGATTTAGCATGACACACAGTCCTCAGAAAAACACCACACAAAAGTGCCAGTGCTGTCAGCTAAAACATACACACACCAATAAAAAAATATTGGAGTAATCCAAGATATAGCTAAAGGTTGCAGCACCACAGCACTAGCGGAAATTTAAATTTGCCGACTGGAATGCTTTCGGTTAACCGACGTTTCGGATAAACAACGCTCTACTGTATAAAAGTTAAAAAAGAGGAAATAAAGTAAATGAATTGTTTGTAGGCCTATAGGATGTATAGAAACATCTGAACAACTCCATTGATGTGTGGTCATCTGCATTAATAATTGATGTGGTTGATACCTTATCTGCATTTTGGGTGCATCTAGGTGGCAAGCAGCTAAGTAAGCAAGTCAGTGACAAGTGTCATTAGCTTGCTTACTTAGCCTAAAATGGACAAACTTAAAATATTAGGAGTAGTGAATAAGATAATGTGTACATGTGATAAACCAAAGTGTTGCATCAGAGAGACGAAGCGACCATTGGAAAAATATTAGCAGAACACTTGCTGACAATATGACTTAAAGACAAAAATTCAGTGTGTTATCAACACTGTGAAGAAAATACAAGTATATGTGCAGGAGATGAAAATAATATTAAAATACTGTATAAAGAAAATAATATTGTAAAGTGGAGAATCAAAGAACATTATGCAATAATTATGTATAAAAATAATGCTAATTTAAATAATGATATGGTAGTTGATACATGCTGAGACAGAATTATATTAAATATAAATGGGTCATTACATGACCGATTTGTTATATGGATAATGAAAGCAATTAAAATGACTGTTTTTGTGTTATACAAGGTCTGTTCAAAAAGTATCGGACCTTATTTTTTTCCGCGTAAACCAATGATGCGAGAGAGGCCTCCTTCGGTGGAGTTGTGGAGGGGACAGTCATGCACAGCCCTGAATTTTTTCCCGCCTGCAGGAAGCGTCAGTCGTTGGCAATCGGCGTATGAGTGAGGTCATGTAGTGCGCTCTCGTCGGATTTCACTAAGCTGGAAAATGACTGAACAACGTGAGCAGCGATATTACATCAAATTTTGCCAAAAACCTTGGCGATACCC